AATACTTCTAAAGGAATACAGTCACAATTCAGCTTTTCTCATCAAAACAGGAGTACACTAGATTATTATACTGAACCAATCTCTCCCATTCAGGATCATTTTCTAAAGTATATGGTGACAAAAAACATGTTTTTCTTTAGCAGAAAAAGGTAGGACACTGTAACAAAGTTTAGGGAAATCCTTACACTGCACTTTACTCACCCAGAGGAAATAGTTTTTATGTTTTTTCTCAATAAAAGTGAAGTTGGGCTACATTCGCATCAGTGTTTTGCTTCGGTGTGAATGGCAATGGCAGGAATCTTCTGATTCTGTTTTTGCCACCTGAGCAGCAAGTTGCAGGCACCACGCCCTGTACACTTAAGTGGGAGGTCGCCGGTGGGCACAGCTATACGTGGCTGTCTATAAAGCCAGCGATTACCTGTGGTGATTGCTGCTGGATGCAGACTGAGCTGCTAAGAGCAAGAGAAGCAGAGAAACATATTTTCCTCTGCCTAGGAAGCAGGGTGTTATGGGGAAAAAAGTTAAAGGGCCATTATATTCATCTGATCATCGTGCGTAAATGGACTTTCCACTACATTCCACCCTACTTGAACTTGCTGTCCCCGGTTTGCAGACCACTCAAATTCATCAACAGCAAAGTGTTCAGGTGTCTCCTAAAGTTAACCTCGGGGTAAAGTTTCAGCACCACAAGCAGTAACCCCGAGCTACACTCAGGATTACCCTTCAGCATTGCTCTGGGATCCCTCGATCACTTACCTTGTCCTTCACACCTGCGATGTCCCCCCTTCAGCATCCCTGGCCATCTCCTCCGGCCGATGCCGGCATCTGTCTTCCGGGTTCCGTTCCCTGCGACGTCGGGACGTACGAGGACGTAACCAGCGGGAAATTTTACAATTTTAAAAAGTGACATTCACTAATACACTAAGCTCCAAGGAGCAGGGCCCTCCAAACCCTCTTGTATTGAACTGTATTGTTGCTGTATTGTCTCCCGTTATATTGTAAAGCACTGAGCAAACTGTTGGCGCTATATAAATCCTGTATAATAATAATAATAATAATAATAATATTACACTAAAATCTGATAGTAAAACATTACTGTATCAAACCATTTCACACATATTTTGTCCCTAGTGCTTTGTCCTGTGCCCTGCCTGCATTTTTACTGTTCTTTCTGCCTGGAAACTGAGAAACGTCCATGGAGTCCAAAAAGCATCCCTTTAGGTCAAAATCGGTTTTAGACCAGCTAGAGAACAGCGATAGTAAATCAGAACCACTTGCAGAATTGAGTGATAATGATTCATGGGGAAATTTGTCATCACACACTGAAAACTATTTTGCGACTAAGATCAGTGATGTGCGAACTTGGCGCTATATTTAAAATTTCAATGTTTTTGGTTTGATTATATTATTGGATTAAATTTATTATTATTATATTATTATTTTTTATGATTATTTATTAAAATATAATTTATGATTTCGTGTTTCAAATTTTATCATACCCGGGATGTTTACTAGACTCTTGTTCAGACAGATTTCTTCCAGAGTTATTCCTAAGAATTACAGGCCTACAATAAAAAAACGACATATTTCCATGCAAAAAAATGTACCGCTTTGAGCACAGAAATACTGACATAATCATAGCTAGGGAGGCTACAGTCCAGTCATATTTGGATGATTAGGAAGCGCAGGCAGAATCAGTGCTATTTTGCATGTGATTCCAAATTGTGGCAAAATGCATGATGTGTGTTTCGTTGCCATTCATCTTGAATAACACTCCAAATGCGGTATCATTTTTCTGCAATTGTCGTTCAACAAAACGCTCGTGAAAAATCGACAAGTATCAAGTGAAAGTGCTAACCTATGAACCATGCTTTTAGAATTGTGAACAGGGACCCACATTCCTGATATGCGGTATGTGAATGAGGCTTAAGTCTCTAGGGCCTATTGGGTGGAGTTTTGGTTTATCTTCTGGGACAAGAGATGACACGTGTCTGTCTTCAGAGGTCTTAGTGGTTGGTAGTTCAGAAGGCTCCATAGCCAGAGCATGAACCTGAGCAGGGTGACCATTGGGCGATGTAATAATGCCAGGTTCCATGGCTTCTCCTGGGGGTCTTGGAGATAATGGTGGAAGAGAAGTTCATGGCTCATGAATTTGGACAGGTTTTTTAAAAACTCTCTTATGACCCTCTTATGGGTCTCCCTGTGGGTCCTTATGGGTTTGAGGATTTTACAGTGTAGCTGTCTCACTTTTGGGGGGATTTCTGTTGTAGGACACCTTCAAGGCCTTTTTTTGTATTGGTGTTTGCAATTTCCCTTACTAGTGTGTGCTTTTACATTGCACTAGCACTCTCTCTTCAGCTTAACGGTCAAAATCTGATGTTTCCAACTATCCTTGCTCCACCCATGGCCAGTCTTGAAATGTTGGACTTCAAACAGTTATTGTTTCCACTCCCAAATCCAGGAAGTCAGGGTGTGTTCAATTTCCTTTGTGGGCAGATATGCATGAAAATGTACTTTATGCTTGTATTTTCAGACCACTTCGGCTAAGTAATGGGCCCATTTCCTTTGTCATGAACGAAGCCTCTCAGCAGTTGTATCAGGGTGGAATTGAACCTCTCACATGTCCGATTGCCTTGTAGGCATTGCTGTAGTGTGTGACTTCTTAATGCCTAGGGAGTAGCACCATTCTTGGAAGAAATCACTTTCAAAACAGGATCCCTGGTTTGAATGTATCCATAAGGAAGGCAAATAGTGTAGAAGCATAGTGTAGGGTGGAGGTCTTGGTGGTCTGGTCATGGATTTATACTGCCACCACAAACTTTGTAGCGTGGTCCACCATCAGTTCCTTTTCCTATGGCGTATTTCTTGCTGTTCCAGTGAATATTACAAAATGTCTCTGCTCATGGTCCCGTAATATTGTTGCTTGTCTATACACCACCTCATAGCAGTTAACTATCTTTTCAGGGGAACAGATCGACCTTACTTCTCCCATATGGGATACCATATGTTTGTATTGGGCCCTGCAATTTCTTGGCCCAGTCACCCAAGCCCTGATCCCGTGTACTTGGATAATTTTTGCTGCAGGAATCTAGCCAGAAATAAAGTAGATTTATTATTGCAGGGGCATTAGGTCGACTGCTTTCTTCAGGAGTAGCACTACCAGGTACCACTGTCCCTCCTCTCCCATCACCATTTCCTGACATGGCCGATCCTATGTATAGATGCCAGATTACGGAGAATGGGTAATCAGCTAAATGATCAGACAGTGTATAACCGTAACTTGCAATTTACTAAACAGTAATGTTAACATTAAAAATGCAAATCAGGAGCATGCATACACTGCAGAATAATAAACATCGCTTAAATAGGAAAATTTGCACAAACATGTAATCTTTACAGAATTGTCTCTGACTCATTCCGGGTAGCATACATACTCTCTAAAACTGTATAACAATAAAGAGTCCAACTGAGAATCACTACTTCAGTAAAACAGTACAGAACAAAGCTACGTTCGATTATCCTCATAGTGTTCCTCACAGTAAAGTCCAGTATAGCACTGTTAACACAGGCAAACAGCTGTAGGGGTCCAGGGATAAAATGCCACCCCACTGGAACTGTAGTATCTTGGTAGCAACTAGGGAAGGAATTCCCACAGTAGCTGAATGCTACTAGGCTCTGGTCATCTTGCTTACACACTGGTTATGACAGTGAAGAGTCTCTCATTTGGCTGCGGATCACTTATATAACTACCACTGCCTCATCAGATGTGGTCTCTCTGAGCTTCTGAAGGAGTGAAGAATCAGAGAAACATCATCCCTGGGCATGTCCAGAAAGGAGTTGTGGGAAAAAGAGTTAAGGGACCTGCGCCTGCAAATCTGCTACAGTAGTACACTTCTGAATCCAGAACTGGTGGTAACTACTTCCAATAGCTGATTTGACTAGAATCTTGAAAACATAAAGCATGTATTTTCTATTAAATTTCCGTTAGGCTCTTGCAGAAGATGAAGATGTTATACATGCTGAAAACAGAACAACAATCTATGCACATTTGGCTTTATTTGTAGTATGCCACAAAGCCATAATGCTGCACAGAAATGCACACTCTAAGCAAATTCCTTCACTGCTCCTGTGTTCGTTACAACTCATCGGAGGAGTCTGACCAAACTAATGTAGGTTGAATCTCTCTCAGGTTCTCCAGCACCACTCTGATATTGCCCCCAAGGTTCTAGAATTTTCCTACTGTTTTTAGCAGTGTTTCCATCTGATCACCTGGCATTTCATAAGAGAGAAACAAAAAGCAAAACTTCTTTTGTGTAGTAATTTGTTAAAATAAATTAATATAAAACCGTGTAAAAAGAAGCATCTGTTGAGTTTTGTCTTCACAACATTTTCAGGGGGTTAAAAAGTAAAAAAAAAAAAAAAAAAAAAAAAACAAGCAAATTTTCACTAATCCAAAGAAGTAGAAATTCCTTATCATGAGAGTTTAACACTGGTTGTCTGAGAAAACATACACTATATTGCCAAAAGTATTGGGACGCCTGCCTTTACATACACATGAACTTTAATGGCATCCCAGTCTTAGTCCGTAGGGTTCAATATTGAGTTGGCCCACCCTTTGCAGCTATATCAGCTTCTGCACTTCTGGGAAGGCTGTCCACGAGGTTTAGGAGTGTGTCTATGGGAATGTTTGACCATTCTTCCAGAAGTGCATTTGTGAGGTCAGACACTGATGTCGGACGAGAAGGCCTGGCTTACAGTCTCCTCTCTAATTCATCCCAAAGGTGTTCTATCAGGTTGACATCAGGACTCTGTGCAGGCAGGTCAAGTTCCTCCACCCCAAACTCGCTCATCCATGTCTTTATGGGCCTTGCTTTGTGCACTGGTGCACAGTCATGTTGGAACAGGAAAGGGCCATCCCCAAACTGTTCCCACAAAGTTGGGAGCATGAAATTTTCCAAAATATCTTGGTATGCTGATGCCTTAAAAGTTTCCTTCACTGGAACTAAGTTTCCTTCACTGGAACTGCCAAACCCAGACACATCCAATCGGATTGTTAGTGATTTATCACTCCAGAGAACACGTCTTCATTGCTCTGGAGTCCAGTGGTGGCATGCTTTACACCACTGCTTGGAAAAATCAGTATGTAAATGGATAGAAAACTGGCTAAAAGACCGAATTCAGAGAATAGTGGTTAATGATTCATACTATGAATGGTCTAGGGTTGTCAGTGGTGTACCCCAAGGTTCAGTGTTTTGACCCTTACTTTTTAATATATTTATAAATGATATAGGGTCTGGGATTAAAAATACCATTTCAGTCTTTGCAGATGACACCAAGCTTTGCAGTGGAATAATGTCCTTACAGGACGTCTGCAACTTACAAGCTGACCTCAATGCACTGTTTATTTGGGCAACTATTATTTATTTAAGGTGCTTATATAGTGCTGTCAATTTACGCAGCGCTTTACATATTTATTGTACATTCACATCAGTCCCTAACCCTCAAGGGGTGTACAATCTAAGGTCCCTAACTCACATTCATACATACACATACTAGGGTCAATTTAGACAGGATCCAATTAACCTACCAGCATGTCTTTGGAGTGTGGGAGGAAACCGGAGTACCCGGATGAAACCCACGCAGGCACAGGGAGAAAATGCAAACTCCAGGCAGGTGGTGTCGTGACTGGGATGCGAACCAATGACCCGAGTACTGCCAGGCTGAAGTGCTAACCATTTAGCCACTGTGCTGCCCAACTATGTGGCAAATGAGGTTTAATGTTGATAAATGTAAAATTATGCACTTGGGGGCTAAGAATACGCATGCATCATACATACTAGGGGGGTACAACTGGGGGAATCAATAGTGGAGAAGGATGCAGAGAAGGGCAATCTGGGAGTTCTGGTATATCATAAGCTTAATAACGGCATGCAATGCCAAGCTGCAAATTCTAAAGCGAGCAAAATCCTCTCTTTTATTAAGAGGTATAGACTCCAGAGAGAGAGATATCATATTACCCCTGTACAAATCATTAGTAATACCTCATATGGAACATGCAGTTCAAATTTGGGCACCAATTCACAAAAAGAATATTTGAGAACTGGAGAAAGTACAGAGAAGGGCAACCAAACTGATAAGAGGCATGGAGGAGCTCAGCAAAGATTAAAGGAATTGAATTTATTCTCTCTTGGGAAGAGGAGATTAAGGTGGGATATGATCAACATGTATAAATACATCAGTGGTTCATATAGTGAACTCGGTGTAGAGTTATTCACCCTGAGGTCATCACAAAGGACAAGTGGGCACTCTTTACGTCTGGAGGAAAAGAAATTTAATCTCCAAATACGGAAAGGTTTCTTCACAGTAAGAGCTGTGAAAATGTGGAAAGACTCCCTCAAGCGTTGGTTCTGGCCAACTCAGTAGGTTGCTTTAAAAAAGGCCTGGATTATTTCTTGGATACACAGAATATAACTGGATACTAACATTTATAGGTAAAGTTGATCCAGGGAATATCCGATTGCCTCTCAGAGGATCAGGACGGAATTTCCTCCCCTGCAGGAGCAAATTAGAGCATGCTTTGCTGGGTTTTTTTTTTCCTTTCTCTGGATGAACTGTGGGTATAGGATTATAACTTTTTTTTTTTTTATAGTTAAACTGGAATTTTGTCTTTTTTTCAGCCAGACTAACTGTGCAACTATGTAACTATGTAACTTGGTGATGTAAGGCTTGGATTCAGGTACTCGGCCAAAGAAACCCATTGCATGAAGCTCTCTACACACTGTTGTTCTGCTAATCTGAAGGCCACACAAAGTTTGAAGGTCTTTAGCTATTGACTCTGCAGACATTTGGCGACTTCTGTGCACTGAGCACTTCAGCATGTGCTGACCCCACTCTGTCATTTTACATGGCCTACCACTTCGTGGCTCAGTTGCTGTTGTTCTCAGCTGCTTCCACTTTGTTATAATACCACTAACAGTTGACTGCGGAATATTTAGTAGCAAGCTGCACAGGTGGCAACCTATAACGGTACCACGCTTGAATTCAGTGAGCTCCTGAGAGCGACCCATTCTTTCACAAATGTTTGTAGAAGTAGTCTGCATGCCTAGGTGCTTGATTTTTATACACCTGTGGCCATGAAGGTGATTGGAACACCTGAATCCATTGATTTGAAGGGATGTCCCAATACTTTTGGCAATATAGTGTATTTTTAATTCTCTAATTAAAGAAATTATATTTATGTTCAAGTTTTTCCAAGCATACAGTGGGGATCGAAAGTTTGGGCACCCTAGCTAAAAAATTGTATTAATGTGCATAAAGAAGCCAAGGAAAGATGGAAAAATCTCCAAAAGGCATCAAATTACAGATTAGACATTCTTATAATATGTCAACAAAAGTTAGATTTTATTTCTATCATTTACACTTTCAAAATAACAGAAAACAAAAAAATGGCGTCTGCAAAAGTTTGGGCACCCTGCAGAATTTATAGCATGCACTGCCCCCTTTGCCAAGCTGAGACCTGCCAGTGTCATGGATTGTTCTCAATCATCGTCTGGGAAGACCAGGTGATGTCAATCTCAAAGGTTTTAAATGCCCAGACTCATCTGACCTTGCCCCAACAATCAGCACCATGGGTTCTTCTAAGCAGTTGTCTAGAAAACTGAAACTGAAAATAGTTGACGCTCACAAAGCTGGAGAAGGCTATAAGAAGATAGCAAAGAGTTTTCAGATGCCAATATCCTCTGTTCGGAATGTAATTAAGAAATGGCAGTCATCAGGAAGAGTGGAAGTTAAAGCAAGATCTGGAAGACCAAGAAAAATATCAGACAGAACAGCTTGCAGGATTGTGAGAAAAACAATTCAAAATCCACGTTTGACTGCACGATCCCTCCAGAAAGATCTGGCAGACACTGGAGTTGTGGTACACTATTCCACTATAAAGAGATACTTGTACAAATATGGTCTTCATGGAAGAGTCATCAGAAGAAAACCTCTTCTACATCCTCACCACAAAAATCATCGTTTGAACTTTGCAAATGAACATATAGACAAGCCTGATGCATTTTGGAAACAAGTTCTGTGGACCGAAGAGGTTAAAATTAAACTTTTTGGCCGGAATGAGCAAAGGTACGTTTGGAGAAGAAGGGGCACAGAATTTAATGAAAAGAACCCCTGTCCAACTGTTAAACATGGGGTTGGATCAATCATGCTTTGGGGTTGTGTTGCAGCCAGTGGCACAGGGAAAATCTGAGAGTAGAAGGAAAAATGGATTCAATAAAAGTTCAGCAAATTTTGGATGGTAACTTGATGCCATCTGTGAAAAAGCTGAAGTTAAAGAGAGGATGGCTTCTACAAATGGATAATGATCCTAAACACACCTCGAAATCCACGGGGGATTACATCAAGAGGCGTAAACTGAAGGTTTTGCCATGGCCTTCACAATCTCCTGACCTCAACATAATTGAAAATCTATGGATAGACCTTAAAAGAGCAGTGCGTGACAGACAGCCCAGAGATCTCAAAGAACTGGAAGACTTTTGTAAGGAAGAATGGGCAAAGATACCTCAAGCAAGAATTGAAAGACTCTTGGCTGGCTACAAAAAGCGTTTAAAAGCTGTGATACTTGCCAAAGGGGGCAGTACAAGATATTAACTCTGCAGGGTGCCCAAACTTTTGCAGACACCATTTTTTTGTTTTCTGTTATTTTGAAAGTGTAAATGATAGAAATAAAATCTAACTTTTGTTGACATATTATAAGAATGTCTAATCTGTAATTTGATGCCTTTTGGAGATTTTTTCCATCTTTCCTTGGCTTCTTTATGCACATTAACACAAATTTTTAGCTGGGGTGCCCAAACTTTCGATCCCCACTGTATATGTTATGCTATTTCTGCTCGATGTTATATTAAAGCAAACACTGTGGTAAATAAAGAAATTCACCCTTAGTTCCAGATATGTATTTATGATAATATGAATTGCATTTCAAGTACTCTTAGTATAACAGTCTAGACCAGGGGCGGACTGACCATTTGGAAGCTCGGGCACTGCCCGAGGGCCCGGGGTCAGTAGGGGGCCCCATAAGATGCTCCTGGTACCTTTTTCATAGGCTTTTTTGAGTTTGGGCAAGGACACAGGGGCCCCATGAGTTGTCAGTCCGCCCCTGGTCTAGACAGATTTTGGAGAACAGATTTTGGAGAGTGTGAAATGGAGATTATATTCTGTGAGCTAGTCAGGGCTCTACCATATTTCATAGAACTATCTTGGGTCAATGTGTATGCAGGGAATGCAAGAAATTGCAAAACTGCAGCCAGAAATAACTGTTACCTTCCATGTTTATATTGTATTGTGTGTGGACCAAAGGCATGGTACTTGGACAGGGGGAGGTACACTAGAGATGAGAAGCAGGCTACTTTGGAAATCTAGGATGCAGCATGGTCTAAGCAGTAGATCTGTAATCAGTTATTAATATCTAGTGATCTAGAAAAAGTCTCCTTCTGAAAATACATACATGCAGAGCACCACCCCATTTGTAAATCTTGGCCAATACCTGCAGCAAAAAGAAACAATTAAAAATTCCGCATATCAGCTCAACTTCGTTATTTTTACAAACACTCTATTCTTGCCATGAAACTAAAATTAGACCTCACTCTCATCTTTTATTTCAATAGCCATATGTAATGAACGTATTTTATTTTTTTAGATAGCACAGCTAATTCTCTACTTTAATGTTCATAGGGTAGCCTTGAATCATGCTACTCGCTAATGAACTGGTCACTACATCAAGATTTAAGAACAAAGTTATTCATAGAATTTCTATACAGTACATTTGTTATTCAGATAAAGACCTGATAGAATGTGGGCATTGATGAAAGGCATCTGAATTATAGTTGCTGTGTATCCCCTTTTATATTCACACATATTTAATCTCCTAACAGCTACACAGAACATTGCCGGTAATGGTGACGGAAATGAACTATCATCTACTTTCAAAGTCTAATTACTGACACCTAATATTCTATGGCTGCCTTTCAAAGCTATGAGAATGTACAGAAAATTTAAAGGGTCTTTTACGTCACCCAAGCTATACGTTTCTCAAAGGCTTTTGCAAGGTAATCATGGTGACAATATAATAACATTCACAATTCTCAGTTGAAGGCTTAACATTTTGTCAAGACAGGAAGGAAATAAATGAATAATGTGTGGACTACTGTATTTAAAATATAATATACATATAATAGGTCATGTTAATTAGAACGATACAATAAAGGGTCTTTTTTATAATTGTTTTTACTTAAGATTCACACAACTTTCACCCAGCAATCACACACATTTCAATGGAATCCAGTTAGAAAAAATTTGACTTTTAGGTGAAAGTAGAGTAATTCTTGTGTGAAGACATTTATAAATACATCCCTAAATTTAAACGTTTTTTAAAGGATTTTGAAGCAGAATGGGTTGTTCTCATGCTACCACTGCAGCGCTGTTTAGCACACCTGTACATACCACATGCAAACCTAGAGTACTGTTCTGAACAAATATACCCAATTATACATCTTACATATCAGCAGTTATATCCTGTGTTCTGTGACAGGGTGTACCTAAGCTACTGCATGCAGCAGTTTTGGGTGTACTTTACATAGAATACAGAGATAGGTGTCCTTCACCACACTCAAAAGGATGGTTTGGTCTTCAGGTTTTAGTACAGATAAGTGAAGGAAGCCTAACATTTTTTTTAGAATTTTCTGTATATTAGTTTCCAATAGAATAGATAGATAGATAGATAGATAGATAGATAGATAGATAGATAGATAGATAGATAGATAGATAGATAGATAGATGTCTATAACCGTTTCCATCCCGTGACTAGGATCGTTTTTGTACCAGATGCTGCTCAATGCCCTTGCACTAAAGCAATAACCAGTGGTAAAACTCCAACCCAGTACTGTCTAGGGAATGTGTCCATTGATACACTTCCAGAGAAATATTCAAACACCCCAGGACCCCAGCGGCCCTTTATATACCGTACAACTGATAACAGCAACCCCATTCAATTCTTGGAGTGCCAGTTTCTAACACAAATGGAGACATGTTTTTAACTGAATTAATGTCACTTTCAGCAATATTCAAAATCCAGCAGTTGTTGGTTGATTGTTACATCAGTAGAGGCTCCAGCAGCGTAAAGTCCCCTAAGTAGTTTGAGCCTGCTCCCCCACAGGGCCATGTCTGGGGTATCACTTTCTTGCAGCTGACTCCCCAATTATTGTATTATTTGTTTTTAGTGATGTGTTAATCAATTAACTAACTTAGGCAAAATGTCAAAATGCTACTTTTTTGCTTTAACAAAATATATGCTTGCAAATTGGTTCAGTTGGAAGAGCTTTTTACAGAAATTGGTAATTCTGACTACTTGGGTTCCTGAATTGTGTGATTTGCCTTGATCTGGCATATTTATAAATACTAGGATACCTCCTGCCTCCCTGTCTTGAACAGGCTGAAAATCACAGTGTAGGGATCGCACAGGAACACGCACTGCTATGTCAGCCCTGATTTGACAAATTTGATTGAAGATTTGAAGGAGATGGGTAGAAAATTATTGACTGAACAGTGACTGCATCCAATCAAACGCAGTCACTGTTTGGGTATTCAAGCACCTTGCTGCTGGTATTTAAAGGGAATACACAGATTGTAAGCTCGATTGTAAGCTCGAAAGAGCAGGGCCATTGACCCCCTCGTGTATTGTATTGTATCATGTATTGAATTGTTACTGTATTGTCTCATGTACTGTCCCCACTATAATGTACAGCGCTGAGCAAACCTTTTAGCGCTATATAAATACTGTATTATAATAATAATAATAATAATAATAAATACAATTGCCAGCAGTGCATATTCCTCCATCTATTTCAGTTCTCTGTCCCCTGCTTTCTGAAATCTCAGACAAGCTGTAAAAATTCACAACTTTGAATGGATGTAAAGGGGAAAACTCCAGATAAACAGGTACAACTTATGCAGGAGGATTTGTTTC